TGTGTGTGTGTGTGTGTGTGTGTGTGTGTGTGTGTGTGTGTGTGTGTGTGTGTGTGTGTGTGTGTGTATGAGTGCGTTCTTATTTTACCCTCACAATCTCTCTTTTTCCTCAACTGACAAGAGCTCATTATTAGTGGTCCGGCTTTGATTTGTGAAGTTCAGCAAGGTGAATTTGAACATCTGTCGCATTTCAAGGTTGTTTCGCTAGTCGAGTGCAAATAGAGGCTGGGGAGCTAAAGGTAGTGAGTGAGTGGAATACTTAGACACAGACACACACAAAAAACGGTAAACGCAAACAAATTGATCAAGTAAATGTGTGACAAGCCAATATATATGTTCATTTCTTTTGCACATTAGGTTATGAGCTCATATTATAATAGCTGACTTGAATATGTAATATGCATTACAACAGCACACAGATAAGTGTATTTCAGAAACTTTAATAATCTGCTTGTTGTACTATACGTTCATGTCACCTATTTTCTCATATTACATGGAAGTCGACACCTAGAAGCGGCTCGACGGATCATTTTGTTTTGTTACCCTATTAAGTGGACTCAACATCTATTGAAGTCCGTTTGTTCTGGGAGAGGGACCGTTGTCATTCATTTTTATCCTACGTTAAAGGGGTTTGTTTGGAGAGTTTTCCCCTCAGTTTCAATAAGGTCAATTGGTGTTATATGCTGTACAAATTGTAAAGTACCCTGAGGCAAATCAGCGATATGTGTACGTAAATAAAATTGACTTAATTAGGCTATTATGCTACTTAATTAGAATACGTCTGAGAAAATTAAGACATATTTGAATAGCTTATATCTTTTTAAAAACTTGATTTTGTTAGAAATTAATGTGTGAACAATGGCGTGTGTGCGCCTGTGTGTGCATTTCCTTGAATTATGGAATTTTCCTGCCTCAACCTCCGTTCATCTGCATATTCTTGTGTGTTTGTATTTGTGTGGGTGGGCAGATGTGTCAAGTCGACATTTTTGTAAATGCTCATCTGTGTGTATTTACATATAAATATGTGTGTGTGTCCAGTCAGAGGTGACCAGTTGTCACCGAGCTCTGACAGTAACCAAGGTATCAGAGACACATGGAGGCACCTTGTCTCCTCCAACCTTTACTCCTGGGATCCTGTGTGTGTGTGTGTGTGTCATAACTCTCTGGAGGGTCCTTCTAACCCACCCCAGGCAGACGGCATGGACACACATGGAAGGAGTCCCAGGAGGGAACCTCAGTTGATGAGGTGACAGCATGTGTGCATGGTTCACATCTCTGGAGATTCCCCACCTTCTTTAGAGAATGTAGGACACATACACACACGTAAACAAACACACAAACAGAGACACAGTCATTCTGATCACTTCTGGTGACGTTACATCAACTTATTTATTTCCTGGAGACTCACCCTAACAATAGCAGGTGGCAGCTTAATCCTCACCTTTACTCTAACCTGGGTGAACAATGAAAAGTCTTCACCCTAAAATGTAAGAATTGACATATTGGTGACTTGCATTTTGTCCCCAAAAAGGATGGCGATTCCCCCAAATGTGACTGTCTAATTAGATTTACATCCCTGCAAGTCTGTTAAAACACTCAAATACACACACAGATAATGATGGTTGAGCTCTTGATAGTGCAGTTAGTCAACATTACGGTAAAGGTTAAAGGAGAAAGGAAGGATGGAAGTAGGGAAAGAAAAAGAAAAAGAGAAAGACAGAGACAGAGGGAATGAAAGGTGGATGAACAACAGGCCTCAGTCATTCTTGTGACTTGTTTGTGTAGTTCAGAGTGATGTGAGAATGCTTTGATCGCTAAGGTTGTCACAAACAAAGTACAATATAATCATATTTATTCATTGTTTTGATGCTACAGTTTGTCCAGCTACTAGCAGGATGCATTAAACTCAATACCATTGCTATGCTTTTTTAAAAGGGTTTGATGAGACAAAGCTCCACCATTGTTTTACCAATATACACATTTTACATGTGTAGCTCCTAATTGGTCCGAGTAGGAGAAACTCCTGTAGAACAACTCCTTAGTTTTTAGTCCTGGACTAATTCACGTAGAAGTCTGAGAGAAGGTCAGTGATCAGTGTTGGCTTGGGAGGGGCTCCATCACTCCCGACCAATGGAAACATTTTGGGGGCAGGCCTAAGACTCCCACTGTGCTCACAGAAGAGAACCGGCAGGGCAGAACAATGGAGGAAGGTGGCAAACCCTTACGTTGACAGACGGCACAGCTGATAGAATCAAAGTTATTTGTAACCTGCATCACTGGAAGTGTATTTTTTTTCTTTTCTCCAAAGGAAATCCAGTACAAACAAGGACACAGACTAAAAAGCCCTTCCACAGTAAATCCCAGCAGTGTACTTAGTGGTGGACCAGTTCATCTCACTCAAACAGGGACACTTGCTGAACATAGGTTATTGATAGATAGATAGATAGATAGATAGATAGATAGATAGATAGATAGATAGATAGATAGATAGATAGATAGATAGATAGATAATTAATAAATAGTACTGTTTATGCTGCTTCCTGAAGAAACCTGAATATGAAGGTACCTATTCAGAAAGCAAGACTTGCCTTTACATTCATTTGTATTCTTTTAAATCTTTATTTGATCAACTTTATGTTGAGATTTACAAGAAATATTTTACCTGCAACTGTGCAAAGTACAAAGGGACAATGGACAAGGGAATACTGCTTTTAAAAAGAAACTTTTCTTTTTTCACAAAAAAAGAATTACAATGCTATTAATTGCGATTAATTGCAGAGATTCATGCAATTAAAACGTGTAATCTTTGCCCAGCACTTGGTTTTTTTTGGGGGGGGGGTTTGCCTTTCTATAACAAGTATGATTTCTACTTGCCGTCTTTCAACATATTAGAAACATATTGGATGTAATCTATCCTCTATCCAGCAGAGTGACAACGTGCTTTCTCACCAATTACTGACTGCCATCTCCCTCTTCACACCTGGCAGGCAGTGGATGTGACGGACGACGTGACAGAGAAAGAGGTGGCAATGGAGAAGAAATGGGCACTGAGAGCCACATAGACAGATGAATTGAGCGAGAGCGGCTTTAAAGTGGTTGTCTCTTGTATTTACATTTCCTCATTCTTCATCAGTTGAATTATTTATCTTTGTCTCAGACTCAGATATTTCACACTGCTGTATAGTTCACCCTTTGGTTCCCTCTCTAATCCAGAGTGGTTTGCTCTTAAGTACAACCAGCAAGGTTTCACTTGAAATATTTATTGAAATATAGGTGCACTCATTTGTCTATTTTGCTCTTCAATGTAATACTTTAGATTGATTCGGGTAAATTTGAAGAGACCCAATCATGATCACAAAACGTCTTTTAATATGAATGAATGAATTGTATCTAAAGCCTGAAGCACTTGAAAAATAAAATCAATTTTCAATGCTGAAAGCCAGGTGCTGCCAGTAGGTGGACTGAGCCTCAGTCTGTAGCTGTTTACACCAGTAAAGCACCTTCCGTCCGTCTGATTATCGTCTGCATGAAGAGAAACACTCTCTAAAAAAAATGAAAAAGCCCAGCGGTGCTTCACAACTTAGGTGTGGACACAACTAAGACAAAGCTTCCCTTTCACTGAGGAAGACCCTGTGCTGGCTGCAAAAACAGCAGCCCTGTTGCACAGTGGCACCACCAGGCATGATCACAGCAGCGAGGAGGACAGTAAAACAACTGTTTCTCCTTTCGTGAAACGCTAATGTGTACAGATTAGAGACCAACAGTGATGAGTTCAGGAATCAGGAATCAGGAAACATTTATTAGCCAAAATATGCAAACATACAAGGAATTTGAAATATTGATTGAAATATTGATTTGATTTCAGGTTGATTTGAAATATTTTGATACAGACACAATAAAGAAAGGAAGAGCAGATCAGTGACCGGAGAAAAAGTGTTGTAGAGTAAGCAAGTATACAGATAGTTTTATAATTACAATATAGAAAGAAATGTAATTAAAACTTTAATTCTTGCTCTAACGAAGTCGGTCTTCTACTAGTCCTACCACCTACGTGTAGCTGAGCTGAAAGATAAGTGGAGAGTGTAAACACTCTGAGGAAGAGAAGGTAGATGAGAGGAAAATAACAGGCTTTCTCTCACTGGCAGGCGTGTGACCTCAGTGTCTTTCTGTCTGTTGATCTTTTCATCTTAAAAACTTCAGAATCAAGGTCAAAGCAATTTCCTGTTATTACACTTTGATGAGCAGCCAGACAAGGTGTCGTTCCTTAGAAGAGCTCTTTTAATCTTTTGAATACAGAACTATATTAGAATTGCAAAGTTGCGACACAGATGACACAAATTATCAAATGTTGCTCTTGTTTTTGTAATGGTTCGAAAAGCTGACCAAAGGAAATTGTGTATATTGTATCATGATGCACATACACATTTACTCTTGGTCGAGTTCAAAGACTGAATGGTGTTAGGTGTTCTTCTGTGAAATTACCATGTGCGCATCAATGAATATAGAAGCACCTCCTAAAATAAAGTAACATCTGCTTCTGGACCATGCAAAGTCAGTGTGAACACCTGGTCTTCTCAAGAGAATAAACTAGTCTGCTCTGCTTTCATCAGAGGAGTCATGAATTTAACAATTAAGAGGATTGTCAGGGCGGCTGAAACATCCTGAGATCTCACATCGAGAAGGTGTTCAGACTGTGATAGAAGCACCGACCGAACGAGAATCTTGCTAGCTGGCATTAGTATAAGACTTTTGAAATGTGTATGTGTGTGTGTGTGGGGCGGGTGGGGGGGGTGTCCACATGCACTTATACACTCACATAAATACACACAGCTATTCTATTTGTGTTATGTACAAAAGACTGCAGGTGACAGTGATTGATAATTGATTGATGGCCTCAGCTGATTGCTGTACTGCACCAACAACACTGCATCCAGCCAGCCAGATACACAAACACAGACAAACAAACACACACACACACACACACACACACACACACATACACTCACTCAAACAAACACTTTCTGCCAGTCTGCCACCACAGTTAGCAACAGTACACGTTTTGCCTCCCTCATTTCTCCAAGCCAGTCGCTCTGCACTGCGGCAGGCATGGGAAGCAGACACACACTCACACACACACTCTTCTCTACTCCACTCCCATATTTTTTGGAAGGGAACAGACGAGGAGCGAGAAAAATCAAGAGAGCACGGCATTTTTCGTATTTTCATAACGGAGCTGCTTTAAAATCCAGTAGAAACGTTTTTCTGTCTTGTGACAAAACTTGTTTCAAAGAGATTTGGAGTATCGGCACTACAAACGGAATATGCACAACTCGACCTACCAGCCCCCCCAAAACAAGGAAATTTGGACCTATGTGAAGGACTTTTGAAAGCGTGCGTAAATGCAATGTTTGAAGAGGCTTTTTTGGGATGTTGTTAAGAAGGTTTCTCCATGCTCTTCCTTTCTCTGGCCTCTGGGTCTCTGACCATCCTCTCCATGCTATTGCTGATAAAGCAATGGAAATTACCATCTCTCCATCTCTCACTCCAGGACATAGATGCAGCCGGGCCTTGCAATTTTGCAGATTACGCTCTATCCATATGCAAGATAAATGAAATCCAGTACAGCGGTATTCAGCTGGTGGAGCTGTCCAGCAACCGGCACCCAGCCCGGAGAAATCCCTGCCCCAGTAGAGGAGAAGAAGAGACTGAGGACGGATCGATGAATGAAGGAAAGAGAGAGAGAGAGAGCTTCCAGACTGCGTGACCTACATTCAACACTGTCTGGAGTCAAAAACAGAGTGAGAGGGAGAGGGAGAGAGAGAGAGAGAGAGAGAGCAAGAGAGCCAGCCCAAACAGAAAGCGGGAGGATGAGACAGCAGGAAAGAAAGAGTAAGTCAGCAGAATTGAGAGATTCAAAGAGGAACTGAGAGGAGTAGAGGCAGAAAGAGGAAGCTGATCCTTGGCCAAGATCATCCATTTCTCACTCTGTTCGTCCTGCTCTTTTGCGCCGCTCCTTTTTCCATAATCCAGTCTCATTCTACCTGATAATGTGCTGCTTTCTCCTCCCCATCTATCACCATTAATCATCCATTGTCTGAGGTGTCTCGGGGAATGCAGCTGCCTGCAGTGCAACGCCAGTCTGGGGAGCACAAACGGGCAGAGAAATAATCATCACTTTTCACACTTTTGTTGTTTTTTTTCCCCGGGCTCTTCATGCTCCTCTACAAGCTCTGTTCCCTTTGTCTCTTCATCTCTCCTCCGCTTGTCCCCGACACCCCCACCACCCCCCTCCTTCCTTCTGTGCACCCCATTCTTTAACCCTCTTTCCTTCAAGCCAAAGCACCGCACAACCCCTCAACATCCACATTTATCTCCTTCCTCCTTCTCCTCCTCTGTCAGCATATATCTATCTGTGCTCCAACAGTATTTGTATGGTGGATCGCTTTGTCCGGCTGATGCTGTTATCAAGAACAGCAGCAGCGGCTCTGACTGTGCGTGAGCCTGTCTGATGAGCTTGGCTTCGAATCTATCTGATTGCCTCCGGATGGAAAGCTGCCTCTCTGAAAGCAGGTGCCTTACAAAATGCTTCTCATGTTTTTTTCTACCTGAACGTGCGTCGGGTGGTAAGGTGGTAAGTCCGAGTGTGACTGTTGTCTGACTCAGTGTTTGTCCATCTGGGTGGAAGGGCTTCATACTGTGTTCTACGTAAGGATTAGGACTGAGTTAGAGATGGTATAGATATTGTGTCCATTAATCTATTTTTGCATTCAAGCCCAAATATTGAGCTGTGACCCGTCTTTCACCACCACATGTATCTTTTTAGCTTTTGCCCCCCTTTTCCCCTCCCTCTCCCACTCTCCTCGACACTCCATCCCTTCCCTCGGCTTGCATGTCAGTCCTCCGGGATCAATGTTAAGGACATGAGAGGGGATTGCAGTTGAAGGAGAGGAAATGACATGGGTAATGAAAGAGGACACACAGGCACCTGTCAGGGAAAATCAAGGGTGTAGAGGGGGAGAAAATTAATTATTCATGGGACAGAATTACACCGCTTTCACCTCCTTGTATACGCTTGATCAGAATCCTGTTTCCTTAAGGTCTTAAAGAAAAGGAATATCTGCCTTTTTTGGCACCTTTTATTTCTGACCGTTAGCGGCGTTCATCTAGCAGCTTTCCCTGAAGAAATTTGATTTCACAAATCATTGATATTATTCTTTTTTTTTCATTTTAAAATGTTGTGCCTCTCGTGCAAACGCTGCAACCCCATTAACGAAAAAAAGAAATACTGGAAGAGATATAAGAGTTGAAAAATGTGATCGCCATATTAACGTGTCATTCCCTTAAATCTCTCTGGTTTTCCTCATGCAACAGTTACTATGCATATTAATCTGGACGTCTTTACATTGCATGAATATTGATGACAGATCAATACAGCGGCCAACACAGACAGGACGTGCAGTTTCCAGTGCTACATGAAGACAATACATTGAACATAACTTATTCCCCGTGAGCATTAACATCCACGTGCATTTTCATCAGGTGACTCAGTTTTTAATCATTATTAGTTGATTTGGGTTATTACCTCCTGTAAATGTAGCTGTGCAAATGTCATGGAGATAAATCGGAACAATTGTTTATACTTGTCAGTACACAGTTCCCAAGGATTCCCACCGCACTCGCTGTTAGGGGCAGTGTATGCTTTGCACGGCCTCCATTTCTCTGACCTCCCTTGGTGTTTAGGAAATGATGATGATGAGTTTTAAATGGAGTGCTAGTTCCCATTTTTGTAGCACTGTAGAAGCCTAAATCATCCCGAACTCCGCTTCCGCTCACTGTAACCCGCACAGATACTTGCTGGCCCCGGTTGACGAGCTTGTTTAGGAACACCGTGTTCTTTCTGTATCAACATAATAAGGTTGACCTTTACATAAACATGCATCCAATGAACTAGTAGCATCCCCCACAATCCGCACTGCCGTCTTCCCACATCATATGACAGGTCCATTATTTGTAAATGGCAACTACACAGCACATCTCTACCTTTAAGCCACTTACAGTGAATCACATCTATTTGTGTGTTTGTGTTTGTCAGAATTCCCCACTAATGTATGCATATACATGGTTCCGCTGTTCTTCTTACTTATAATGTCGATCCTGTTGAAGCTATGGTGTCTAAATGTCCGTACAATCATTGAAGAAAAGCTTCATGATTATAGTTACTTAAATCATTTTAGTGCATTATTAGTGGCTGAGCTTTTTCCCATTGTCAGGAGTACTTGGCAAACAATGCCAGCTGTCCAAAAATGCTGCAAAATTGGAGATTCTCTGCAGGACTAGATGGTGAATGCACTCTTTGAGCCTGTTAAAATAAATGCCATCTATTTGTGGAATGGCGTGAGTGAGGTACTCTAGCTCCGTATTTTTCTCACTTTGTGGCTCTGCGTTGTTCTTTGCTATATGACATTTTCTTGAATGAGTGAGTTCTCTTGAGTGAATAGGAGTTGCATCTTTTTGTTTCCTTCTCTTTTCAGCATTTTCAATATCAGCTCTCTAATATATAATGTAATATATTGGGAGAAACATCTTTTGCTGTTGGCTTTGTATGTATGAACGATTCAAGCCCAAAAACCTAGAAAACAATCTCTCCCAGAACTTAGTACTTATCAACCTATGCTGCCTTCAAGGATATAGTTGTAGACACGTCCACATCCTCATTATTATTAATTGAGATTAATTAATTGATTTAATGCTTGATACATTCATGTTTTACAATTCAACACATCCAAGAGAGTGTTGTCTTCCTGTCGTTTTGTCCGTATTGTCACATTGTGTTATATAACTGACCCCTGAGTGCTGACTCATGCAAAGGGATTTTCATGGATTACATCTGACACTGTTGAACATTACGCTAATAAAGAAACAATTATTTCCTTGAATTTTTCTCTTTCACGAGTCACGTCTTTCATTTAAGCCTCATTCTTTCCGTGTGTCCGATAGTTCTCGATATTAAGTCATCACCAGATTCTGTTTTATCCCACTCATCTGATCATAACATACTAAATTTCAATTTTTATTGTAGTCTTCCTACTCAGACATGTTACCGGAGATTGTTTTTTATGACATGTTCTCGACACTAATTAAGAGGAGTTATTTTAAATGTGCAACAAAGACAAAGACAAAATACATTTTTAACAACCATCTGAGACTATTGTATGAAAACATTGGGATTAATTGAGAGTAACGCAGTCTCCTTGATGCTCAGCTACGTGAGTCTGACATTAAACAACAAAACTAATGATAATTTTACTTTCTTACTAAGGTCTTGTAACTTAATTCCACTCATTCAACACAATATCCAAATCTCTCAGGTTACTGTATCAAGCCGTTTAGATCTTAATACAATTCGTTTTTCAATTAACAGTCAAAACTACCAATGTGGTGAGTGTTGAATCACAGTCTGCAATTGCAATCTCCTCATTGGATCAATTCGTTTTTTACTGGTTAAATGAGAATAATTTGACAAAGTCTCCAGATCTTTGAAGTAAGCAGTCAATTAAAATCGTTCTTGATGTTTCCGTCCTTCGTCATGCTGCACATTAAGGCAAATTTACAAGCAGTTTGCCAGTGAACGCTTTTATCATGTATCATGAATGCCCCATGACAACTGTAATTGTGAAATTACTGAAACCATCACACTTTCTTGATTGAAACAGATATATTCTGCTTTTATCATTGTTGCTTTCCAAACCAAACATGCAACACATTTTAAACAGCCAAGCTAAAACAGTACGTTTATGAGATATATGTCACTTGAAAGTTTGGATTGTCTCCCCATCATCGTTTGTTGTTGTTTCTGCGGTTGTACACATTATCAGCAGTGTGAGACACATAACAGGTCTGTTTGTTCACTGAAGTTCACTTTGTGTACTAGAACTTGCAGAATCGAATCCTGTAATTAATAGTAATATTTTTTATCTCTCCATTTTAGCTTGGAGGTATACTTAATATTTGCATAACGCCACCCATAATAAAGACGACTGGTTGCTGAATCTACTTGTGAGTGTTGTGTTTGCCTGTGAACATACAAGGTCTGTGTCGTTTTAACGCTTCCTGAGAGCAGAAAGACGGTACACCGACACGTCTCCTGGGGCCACTGGCGAAGGATCAGCGCGCTGCAGGCATGCACACATTCAGAATAACCTTCATTAATGATATGGAATATGACTAAAAGGCCCATATGGACACCGAGGAAGGGCAAACAATCGGATAAGCATGTCCATAGGCTTATTCCTTAGAGGTAACAGAGACACACTGAATGTTGACAGGTGAGCTTGTGGTTACACTGCAGGTGGGTCCAAACACTTAAACACTTACTAAAACCAAACAAACAGCTTGAAAAACAACGTGATCATTTACAAGGGTGGTTGGCAGCTTCACTGAGTTATTCTGTGTCAAGTTTTATCTTAACTACACTCACTAGGTGTGTTATTCTTTCTCACTGCAGGGTTTTACACAAAATGAGAACGTCACTCTAATCAGTGCACGGCGGCTTTTCAAGAACACACACACAGACGCACGCACACACACACACACACACACACAAACAAGCACACACCTCTCTCCCAGACAGTCTCATATGGACTCATTAGGGGCCAGTCTATCGCCACCTGTGCACAGAAAGGCCCAACGGGCTGGCTTTGACAGTGACAACGGACAGGCGCTGTGCAGGGAATACACACACACACACACACACACACTGGTGTGGGGTATTGTGCACGTTTATGAACACACACAAGCATACGCACAAATACAAGACAGATAGACATTCCTGGAAGCAGGCAGGGACAGTTCAGGGACACTTTGAGCACCAGCTTGAGACTGCATTCGAGCGACTTCACCCACAGAATTTTTGTGGAGAAACACGCCTGATAGACATTTAAATACATGCATGTATCGCCTTATTTTGAGTAAGACTAAAAGACAGCAATGACTCAATCACATTGAGATGGAGACGGTTTTATAGCTTTATGAACTAACAGTATATGCAAGCACTCACTGTGTGGATAAACATAATTCTTTAACTTGAATAACCTAAAACAATTTTGGAAATACAACACATGCTAATGCAAAATATGTTCAATAAATGTAAACGTGTTCAGCTTCCTGTGATAATGCATGCATGTGTAAACTAAACTTTTTAGCTCTTGGATGATCTTGTTAACCTTGTGATTATATCTGATTCTTTTTTAACTTTTTTGTTTTTAATGCAAATTAGACATAAGTACATGTTCGTAAAATCAGCTATTTCTGTCTTACACCCTGCCAATTATTCTCAGTAAAGATGTAAGAGAGAAGTAAACAGCAATAAGGAAAATAACAGAACACAGCAATCCAAGATAATGGAAATGATGGCTAACCGCAGGATGGATAAAATTAAAATTTAATTTAACAAATGAGAGTTGAACAGATGCATAAGAGAACATTCTGTTTGGGTCATTTTTCTTTGTTTCACTGCTGTTCATCTTCATTACAGGAGGGATAGCAGGCAATCAGTCGTGTCCTTGATCCCT